TTGAAATAGTTTACCTTCACATAATTCTCCTAAAATAAATTTGGGATTCTCTCTAGGAGTTGCTTGAAAATGTCTTTTAAAAGTCCAGAAATTATCTGAAGAACACTCCAAAAAATGAATGAAATTCTTCCTAAGATTCTAAACTAATTTGAAAAAAAAAAATCTAAAAATTCACTGAAAATTTCTTCCATTTTTTAATGCGCTTGAATTTTCCCTAGAACTCCTATGCAATTCACCTCAGTATTGTCTTAAAATCTTGCTAAGAATTAGTTTGGAGTTTTCCTCTAAATTCTTCCGAAAATTCACTTGAAATATTCCTTACAATTATCTCAACATTATTTTCGTGATACACTTGAAATTATCCTCGGATTCCCTTGGTACTTTTCACGGAATCTTCTTCAAAATTTCCATGGAATTTTTAACAAAGCTACTTAAAAAAATTACCCTGAACTCACACAAATAAATTTTAGTTCTACCCAACAAGGAGTGCAGAATAAGAGCATATGTGGCATATGGGTAGTCAAAACTCTCTTAGAGTTCATCCCAAAACTCCCTAGGAGATTTGCTCTGTTATCTCTTGAATTCATTCTCAAATCAGCTCAAAATTGCTCTCTGGAAAATATCACCAGAATATACTTAGATTACTTCTCGCAATTCCATTGAAATATGCATCAACATTCCGCTGGAACTATCCTTTGAATTCAATTTTCCTTGAATTTTCCTCGGAATTACCATGAAGTTCTCATCAGTAAGAAAGCCTTTGGAAAGATTCTCAGAATTTACATTGAATTACTTTCAGATTTATTTTTGAATCTCACTCCCTCCCTTGGCATTCTACTCACATTGAAAGTCTCCTAAGAATTCATTTGCATTTCTCCTCGCAAATTTCTTAGATTTCTCCTCATAATTTGTTTGGCAAACTGCCCTGGAATTATTTTCCGAATTCCTCTGAAGTTATTCTCAGATTTAATTGTAAACCTGCTAAGCATCACCCTCACCCCCTAAGTATTCTCCATAAAAATCAAGGACTTCTCCTCCGGACTAATTTTCTCCCACCAACTTCACGAAATTATCCTCAGAATGCCCTTGGAACTTATTGCTTTTCGATAGCAACGCATTGTTTCAGTGCTTGCGCATTGTTTGAGTTCGTTCACTTTTACCGTTGTCCCGTTGGAAGCAAACAACTGGACATGTCCGTTGAAATAAAGCTGACGATTAGGTTCAGTTTCGCACATGGTTCGGCGAAACCATCCATGGCAGAAAGTGCGAATTTTGTGAAATCGCTGGAGGCGATTCCTATTCAGATGATCGCTATCTATCACATGGCGGTGGAATTGTTTGCTGCCGAACAGTGAATGTTCCATTATGCCGATGGGAAGTCAGGCAAGGTAGTCATGTCGCATGCCGGGGGCACCGTTCAATACGTGAGAGTGTACGACCTGCCACCAGAAGTCCCAGATAGCGAGCTAGCATTGGTTTACGGTGATGTTACTGTGTATTGTTCTCAAAGTTCTGTGCAAAGTTATCTTGAATCGGATACAGGAGAAGATCGACGCGACACTCCGACGGCAGCAGGCAGGATTCCGTGCCGGAAGATCTTGAGTGGACCATATTGTCACGCTCCTCATCATCCTCGAGCAGGTCAATGAATTCCAAAAGTCCTTTATTTGGTATTCATTGACTACGAAAAAGCTTTCGACCGTCTCAATCACGAGAATCTGTGGGGCACCCTGAGACGCAAGGGAGTCCCGGATAAAATCGTCAACCTCATCGAAGCGCAGTATGAGGCTTTCACGTACAGAGTTCTGCATAACGGAGCCTTGTCCGACCCTATCCGGGTAGTCGCTGGTGTGAGACAAGAATGTATACTATCACCGCTACTGTTTCTCATCGTAATCGACGAGATCATGGTAGGTGCAATAGACCGTGTACCGAACCGTGGGCTGCTTTGGCAGTCTATCACCATGGAGCCAGGGGTTGAAACAGTTGACGTTTTTTACTACACTCGCTTCGTTGTCGTGCGCGACAGTCTGTTTGTATTCGAACACTCATGCTCTACCGTCGTCTCTCTCACACAACACGAGCGGTAGAATAACATTCGAGCTAAAAGAAAATTATCAAAATAGCTATCATATGACATGTGTGAATTCGTTGTAATTCCTCAATTTGGTGTAAATCAAACCATTTTTGAACAGAAATATTATTACTAGGACATCATTGCTTGCTATTTTCAGAATTCACACAAGCACACCATCAGCAGCTCTTATTATAAGAAAAACTAAAATACATACATTCGTGACGGTCTTCGGCGACAGTATCGTATGACAGAGCCTGTCATACGACATTTTAGTTTGGTACTGTACTATGATAGCTTGCTTTGCAAGTGTCGGAGGCAAAAGCAGTCAACTATCACAGAAAATGTGTCGACTACCGTGACCGCTTACAAGACTGCATGGAGCATCTCAACGACTTCGATTTGGCTGATGATGTTGCTCTACTAGCACAACGGCGCTCTGATATGCAGAGTAAGCTCAATGACCTAGCCGAACGCGGCGGGTCTCACCATCAACGTCAACAAGACCAAATCGTTGGATATCAACACGGGCAACCCTTCCAACTTTACGGTAGTGGGGCAAGCAGTGGAGAAGGTCGAAAATTTCCAATATCTTGGCAGCCAAATAGCGTCGGGCGGCGGGACCAAGAGCGACATAGGTGCACGAATCAAGAAGGCTAGGGTTGCCTTTGCGAGTTTCCGAAACGTATTGAGATCCAACCAGATAAGTCAAGGCACCGAAATCCGAATTTTCAACTCGCACGTGAAATCTGTGTTGTTATACGCCAGCGAGACGTGGTGTGTATCAGCGGAGAACACTCAAAAGCTGCAGGTCTTCATCAACCGATGCCTGCGATATATAATTCGTGCCTGGTGGCCTCACAACTGGATCTCGAATGCCGAGCTCCATCGTCGATGTCATCAGAAGCCGATAGCAACAGAAATTCGAGAGCGAAAGTGGAGGTGGGTCGGCCACACACTTCTACGGGGCGGAAACGAAATCTGCAAGCAAGCGCTGGATTGGAATTCGGCAGGACATCGCAGCAGGGGCAGACCCAGGGCTCATGGCGGCGGAGCCTCAATAAGGAAATTAAGCAAGTCGATAGGAATCTGACCTGGGCCCAGGTCAACGCAAAAGCGAGCAGCCACCCAGGATAGAAGTCTTTCACGTTGGCCCTTTGCATCGCTGGTGGTGCACAGGACCCTTAAGTAAGTAAGTAAACCGTCAACGTGAGGTTCGGGATAAATTTCCAGCTGCCTTGGGCCTCGATATGCACACAGGTGTGCGGAGTATATATGGATGTAAAAAAGGGGATTCCCAACTCGCTGCATTTTCACAATCGTAAGACGAAGGAACATCCTGCCCCAAGCGGAAGGATCGTAGGCAGCAAGCAACGGAAGAAGAAAACCAACAACGGAATGAGGAATAAAGTATATACGCTGGTGTAGTGATCGCCATCGCCAAACGAGGACACGGTTAAGGTCTTGGAAGAAAAAGTGATTTAGAGGAAGCAAGCACTGCTGAGAAACAGCAACAGCCTATTTTCAAGAGCAAAAAATATGCTGAATATTACTACAAGTTCGGGAAAGAAACTATACCGAAAAGGAGCGGATAAAGGACAAAGAGGAGGCCAAGCGGCGGGTGCTGCTGACGGAAACATAATTGGAAGAAGCAATGGAATTGAGGGCACGAATGAAAGCGGAAGCTAAACTTAAGTCGCCACCAAGGAATATTGTCCCGGATCAAAATGAGATTGGAACCGATTCTGGATTTTTCTTTAACTTACTTCACTTTAGCGCCAAGCAAGACGATCGAAGTCGCTTGCATGTGAAGCAGCAAGATTGTTTACCCGGCGAGACTCAGGGCGAGTCCTTCAAATTTAAAAAGAAAAACCTAATCCAAAACCGACCAATCAACCTTCGAGTAGTACGATACTCGACTCAAATCGGGAACACCCATATTCGAGCGAACCGGCCAATTTCAAATCAATCAACCTTTCTTCATCCAATAACAACACTAGCAAGCATTCATTTTCTGTGGGAGTATAATTCCAGGTTTCGAAGGGCTATTATTTCCTAACTCCTAAATTCCAATTGGAATTCCAATTTGCACGGCCGTGCCTTACTGTGTCCCTCAGTCTGGGTATCTTGATCCGTTACAAGAGTAAGAGGAACTCATAAACAATGTCCCTCATCATCACTTTATTGTAATTACAAAATTATGTATTGGTTCTCGGCTCCGTGAAGTCCTTTAGGACATTTGAGATTAACAAATAAACAAATTGGAACATGGTCACTACCAGCCCTGCGATGCGTCAACAGCCAGGAAATGCGTAAATTGTTTATCCACTGAAAATGACGATTTAAAGTTTTGATGAGCTTTAATGTTGCACACGTCCCGCAAATATAATCTAATATTCTTCAATTACGCTGTAGTATGCCATCTTAGTAAAAGAATATAATGAAAATACATTACTTAGATAAAATTTCACTATATCCGAGTCTGCGAGATCAAATCCAATACCTATCAGCGACTGTTCCTAAAACATAACATCTATTCAAGCGTTTGACGTCGTCACGAACGTCAACAAGCAGTCGAGAAGCGGTGAAGGTCACACTCTACTACTACCACAGAACCACCACCACCAGCAGCATCTACTACACTGCGCGAGAATGAACCACTAAACTAAGCGGCCAGTAGTAGGTCGATCGGCAGGTTGTAGTTACGGCAGCAGGTAGGCATATGCAACCCCCACGGTAAATTTATGGAAATTAAAGCCAAACCAAATGAGGAATGACGGACGAGAGAACAAGAACACGAAAATCGAACCACCGTGTGACGCTGCTAAATAAATACATATGCCTATAGTCAAAACAAGAGCGCAGCACACGCCGTTTTTAAGGCAAGGTCTAAAATATATCCATTTGGTTAGCTCTAGGTACTTACTTTGGTCACGATCGGCAACGATTTTGATGTCATACTTGGTGGAAATCACGATGGACAGCACCAGCAGCGCGACGACGATGTACGCTCCGGAAACCACGTGACCGACGATGGCCAACACAATCAGGAAGCCCGATATGAGCGCACAGAACAGACCGGGCTTCTCGTTTCGCATCTGGAGCGCCCGGTGGCCCAGGTTCCGGAGCTTGTCCTCCACCAGCGGGGTCATCTGCAGGCGGAGATTGGCGTACTGTCGGCACCAAAACACCACCAATCCGGAGAAGAAAAATATTCCCAACGGTCGAAAGTTGAACCTGTTCAACAAAACATAAACACCAACGTAGTTTGCAGCGTTCTCAAGTCAAATTCCACACAAAAACGGTCACCGTTTGCGACATGCGACCCTAAACGGTGACAGTTTTTGGATGGAAATTGACAACCTCTTCCTCTGAACGGAACGGAACGTACCATACAATGGTCCCAGATATGACGGAAACCAGGGCCGCGTACGCCCCGGTTGCTTTGGTAACTTTAATCATCACTACACGTTCGTTTTGATCCGGAACTAGGTTCGCTCACACACTAAATCCAATCTATCACAATTGGTAGTAAATAATCGTTTCACGGTTCAAGAATCGATCTTCTCACGTTCACATTCACTTTCGTTTTGAATCGTCGTCTGCTTCTAGTCGACCAGAAGACTGCCGGCGGCGCGTAGAACGACGGCTCTCACCGCTTTTCCTTGTAATAATAATAATAATGGCTGTTGAAGAGAAAGAGAGAGAGAGAGAGGAGCAGAACAAACCAGAAAAATTAATTAAAAAAATACGTATTTAAATATAAGAGTATTATTCGAAGTAGACACAGACGACAACGACATCACACAGGTTTTCATTTTCATCGGGATTTTTTTTTATTTCCCCCGAATGACACTGCTCTAGATTTCGATCTCATGCGAACGAAAAGTAGAACGCGCACCCCTCCATTAGCTTTATGGAATGTGGTACGCAATATTCGGAAAACTTGATCCTCAATACCCCCACTGGGACCCCTTGGGCCTGTGGCGGACGCGGCGGAAAAGAAGGTCATTCTAATGGGCGTCAGAGTTTTCCGTAATTGCGACCAATTCTGCGCCGTCGTCGTCGCTGTTTGTCCGTAGAACTACGGATTGACGCCGTTGTCGACAGTCAGTGGGAAAGAATGCGTGGGAGGCTTTTATTTATATAGGTTATGTCTGTGTGTAGTCATGTGTTTCGGATATTATTGTTTTCGAGATCGTGAGTTAGCTCGATCGTAGCGAGTTGATGCAAAGCAATGTAGTTTTGATTAGGGCATTGAACGGTATGCTTGATGATGGCCTAGAATAGTTTGTATGCGAAATGAATGAATTCATCCAAATCTCCTTCATCTTCATGGTGAGCAATTGTCCTGTTTTTCTCCCGGGATTTTGGAAATTATCGCGGTTTAGGTTTAAAATAAATCGCACAAAACTGAATGCGATTAAGCCGAAGGTTAAATGGGTAATATCTAAGACAGCAGCACCTTTGCTGGATCTTGAATATGGATCTGCACAGGTTCAAAGCACAAACGAAGTGACAGACGACTAACTGGCGAAGAAATCCATTAAAATAATGTGGTTCACTGTAAAAGAATTTTCTTGGAAACTTGTGTCATCATCCACCAGATGGGTTAGTTTTTTTGTTTTGATTTGAACAAAGTTGATTTTGTGTACAATGATTCTTTGACAGTGTGCAAAGAGTGCGTACCATTTTGTCATTTTTTTATGCATTTCAGTTTTGAGTAGAGTGAAAGAGATAGAACCAAAACATTCTAATACATTTGGTGAAAATGCTAGTACAATCTAGTAGTAGTGGTGTTGCCATGTGGTACACTGAAAAATTGAAATAGCAGGTTAGTCACCAAAGTTTTCGAGCCGCTCCGCTCCGTCTATCACTTCGTTTGTGTTCAAAGTCTTCACAATTTGTGTATGAAAATTTTGCTCAAAACTTTACAGGCTTTTATTTGATTGTTCTCAAGCCTGTCCTTTAGATTAATTTACTTTCACATATATCTTTCCAGAATTCTTCTAAAATAAATTTGAAATTCTCTCTGGAAATGCCTTGATTTTTTTTTATAATAGTACAAAAAATTCCTAAAATTGATCCTTTCTTCGAATTTTTAACTCTTTCTAAGAATTCACTTGAACATATTTTTTTTTTAATTTGCATGAAATTCTCCGTAGAATTCACCTCATACCAAGAATTGAAAAGGACCTATTAGGTTATGTGAGCAAAACTTGTAATCCCCCTTCCCTGCGAACACCATCTGGCAGGGAAAATTCTCCCACCGAGAATTGTCTTCAAATTTTGCTCAGAATTATCTTGGTGTTCTCCTCTAAATTCGTCTGAAAATTGCATGGAATTCTCATCAACACTCTCTAGAAATCCCATTCAAAATGCGATTGGAATTAGACTCGGACTATCCTTATAGATCTTCGCCTAATTATTTTGGAACTGTACCCTCAAAATTCACGTTCCTTGGTATTTTTTCAAGAATCCCGGAATCCTCTTCACTCTTGGGAGATGTAGTAAAAACTCTCCTAGAGGTTTTCCTAAAGCTCCGTAGAAAGTATTCTCTGAAATACCTTGGTGTTTTCTCTAGAATTCATTCTAAAATCTGCTCAAATTTGTTTTGGAAAAAAAAATCTAAAATTCTCTTAATAGTTCTTCAAAGTGACTGTACTTATTCTGAAAATCTAGACCAGTCCAAGGGTCTTGTAATCTTATTATTTTCGGAGAGAGGACGAGGTATATTTTTCCAGATTTGTCAACTAAATTCATGGGATTTTCTCGGTAACTTCAAACTCCAGCCTTTTCCGGTTTTCCCGGTTCACTGGTCACTCTGCATTTCACATATGAAACACTTGTTTTTAATCCCATTATATTTGTTTTGCCTTGAGTACACTATGAGATCCAGCTCCGTAAGAAAATTATTCCGGATAATATGCTCAACCGTAGGCGGATTCCTCCGATGGGAAACGCTGCAAACAACGCTTTCATCTCCAAAATTTTGCAAGGTAATTCCATCTAAATTGCAATAGCAACACCATTACCATACTAAAACTTTACTGTGAAGTTAATTTTTCGAGCTAACCAGGTTTACAATGAAGACCTAGAATACTTAATACAGCCACTCTATGCTGTCAAAGCAATGCTTGTCTACGTATCTTTGAATCATAAAAGTGCTACTCCAAGCAATAAAAAAAACTCCCAAGTAAGACCATTATCCTAAATTCTCATTTAGTTAGTTCTCTGAGCTAATCAAGCTGCTCAGAAGGAGAACCTCCTACGGAGTAGTTTTACATAGTAGGCTTAAACTGAATCTTTACTGACAATGTCTGGGGGGAACACCTTTATGAGGGCCAAAAGACTCCTCGCATGTGATGCCCCTCCGGCTGCTGAGGCTGTTGGGTAACAGCTCTCCTGGCTCTTCACGAAGACGACAACAAGTTCAAAATGAATGACACAAATCTGAACGAGACGACACCGTGACGAGGTCCAAAGGCTCATCCCGTGCGGTGCCGTCCCGATAGTCGAAAGAAAAATTTAACATATAAACAAATGAACGAGTATACAAACGAATATAACAAACATAGTTTTCCTAGATCCCATGGTATAGGTTAGCTTCCCTGAGGAAAACTAACAGGGCGTCTGCAGCGGGTGAATCTTCTCCGAGCAGGTTCCGGATGCTGGAGGTGATCCCATAGGTTTCCCTGAGGTCCTGGAATTCAGGACAAACACAGAGGACGTGTTCAACGGTGGCCGGGACGTGGCAGATGGCACAGCTCTTGCGGAAGGGTCCTCCGCCGCCGAAGTTATAGTATAACCGGCAGTGTCCAGTCCTCAGCCTCGAGAGCACTCTCTGATCCCGAAGGTTTCGGAGGTCCGTCCATGCCTTCGTGGTTCCCTTAATCCTCCGGATGAAAGGCTCTCGGGTGCTGAACCACTGGTCGGCCCAAGCTTTCTGCACGGTTGTTTTGATTAATCGCCGGAGATCTGGAAGGGGAACTTTGTCCGTGAATCTCAGACCCGCTGGTCCAGTTCCAGCGAGTTGATCGGCTGCCTCATTACCGGGTATTCCGCAGTGACCGGGGATCCATGTAAAGATGGTGCTGCTCGGGCGTACTCGATGGTAGCTTGAATCCACGGGTGGGCGGGAACTGCTGAAACTAGCTTTTGGGTTCGCGCTGAATGAATCTGTTAATATGAGGATTGGCTGGTTAGCTGGTGACGTGGTCGCATGGAAAATTGCGGCCGCTTCTTCCGAGTAAACGGAGCATTGCGGTGGTAAGCTGCTGCTGGCGAGTATGCCACTTCCCGATACTCCGATGCCAACGCCCGTGTTGGATCGGGAACCATCGGTGTACCGGTGAGTATGTTCGGCGTAATGGGTTCTGACATATTCGGCTACTGTGCGACGGAGGGCCGCGGAGTTGTCTCCTGCTTTAAATCGGTTTTTAATGTGGTAATCGACATTGATGCTGGAAGCAGTGGCGTCGCCCTAACCTCAATCTACCTGTTCAACAACTCTCAAAACGTAAACAAACAAAACATTATTGGTTTCAATGGATGAAAATCAGTGAAACTAGAAGACCCTAAGCCTTTTGAAACTAATTTGAATGTAAACATGGCCCTAAATAACGTTTTCAAAGTTGTTGAACAGGTAAAAAGTGAGGTTACGCGACGCCACTGGCTGGAAGAGAGCCAACTCTTCTCTCGGTGCCAGTGGGTCCTAGCCACCCGGGGGAGGTCGATGCTGGCGATCGTCGAGGAGGAAGATTCTGCTATTTCCTGCTGTCTTGGCGGCGAAAGATGCAGCTTTGAAAATGGTAGCGTTAATAATACGGTACCGGAATGGTAGAACCCCTGCTTCGACACATGCAGAGTCGGCGGGGGTGGAAGGTAGGAGGCCAGAAATTATCCTGATGCTGCTGTTGAAGGTTGGACCGAGAATCTCAACCTGCTTCTCCGAATTGATGCACGTAAGCTCAGTTCCGTACAGCACCCTGCTATCGATGATAGCTTGCGCTACTGCCCGATTGTTGGTGCGATGAGGCCTGGAGATGGTCCGGATCAGATTGATCCTGCTTCGACAATCTTTTTTCACCTGGTTGAAGTGCGGCACGAAGGAGAGGGTGCGGTCCACAAGTACGCCCAAGATCCGAATGGAGTTCTTGACGGGAATAGCATGGTCGCCAATCTTGATGGCGGTCCCGTTAACCCTGTGTCGTGACGGGCAGACGTAGCATCGGATGCTTTTTCTAGCAGAGAGCTGATAACCAGCAGCTTCGACCTATTTTACGACGGCTGTGACCGCGGCTTGCGTGAGGTTCCTGGTGCGTGTTGTGGTGGGCCCGGTTACCACGATGAGCACATCGTCGGCGTACACAAAGATGCGGACGTTCTTTGGTAACTGGCTGAAGATTCCGTTTATCGCGATTAGGAAGAGTGTAACAGAGATCACTGATCCCTGGGGGACCCCTGTTTCCTCCTGAAAGCTCCTAGATTTGGCATTTCCGATGGCAACACGGAAAGCACGGTCAGTGAGGAAATTCCGAACGAAATGGACCATGTGTCCCTTAAGTCCCCACGTCCCCTTAAGTCCCCGACGAGTTTGGCAAGTACGGCCGGAGTCCAGGTCCTGTTGAATGCCGTGGAGATGTCCAGTGAGACCATTTCGGTGTGGTGTCCCTGGTCGAAGGCG